CTCTCACAATTCCTAACAGCCCAAGACAGCTCCAAGAAAAATGCAGGGAACAAAATCGACCTCTGTACATGACATTGATTGACCTTGCAAAGGCATTCAACACAGTGAATCACAGTGCTCTCTGGATCATCCTCCAAAAAAATGGGTGTTGTTGTTGTTCATTCGTTCAGTCGTCTCCGACTCTTCGTGACCTCATGGACAAGCCCACGCCAGAGCTCCCTGTCGGCCGTTACCACCCCCAGCTCCTTCAAGGTCAGTCCAGTCACTTCAAGGATGCCATCCATCCATCTTGCCCTTGGTCGACCCCTCTTCCTTTTGCCTTCCACTTTCCCCAGCATAATTGTCTTCTCTAGGCTTTCCTGTCTCCTCATGATGTGGCCAAAGTACTTCAACTTTGTCTCTAGTATCCTTCCCTCCAATGAGCAGTCGGGCTTTATTTCTTGGAGGACTGGTTGGATCTTCTCGCAGTCCAAGGCACTCTCAGCACTTTCCTCCAACACCACAGCTCAAAAGCATCGATCTTCCTTCGCTCAGCCTTCCCTAAGGTCCAGCTCTCACATCCGTAGGTTACTACAGGGAATACCATGGCTTTGACTAGGCGGATCTTTGTTGCCAGTCTGATGTCTCTACTCTTACTATTTTATCGAGACTGGACATTGCTCTCCTCCCAAGAAGTAAGCGTCTTCTGATTTCCTGGCCACAGTCTGCATCTGCAGTAATCTTTGCACCTAGAAATACAAAGTCTGTCACAGCCTCCATGGTTTCTCCCTCTATTTTCCAGTTGTCAATCATTCTTGTTGCCATAATCTTGGTTTTTTTGACGTTTAGCTGCAACCCGGCTTTTGCGCTTTCTTCTTTCACCTTGATTAGAAGGCTCCTCAGCTCCTCCTCGCTTTCGGCCATCAGAGTGGTGTCATCTGCATATCTGAGGTTGTTAATGTTTCTTCCAGCAATTTTCACCCCAGCTTTGCATTCATCAAGCCCCGCACATCCTCGCATGATGTGTTCTGCATACAAGTTAACAAGGTTGGGTGAGAGTATGCAGCCTTGCCGTACGCCTTTCCCAATCTTGAACCAGTCTGTTGCTCCGTGGTCAGTTCTGACTGTTGCTACTTGGTCCTTGTACAGATTCCTCAGGAGAGAGACAAGGTGGCTTGGGATGCCCATCCCATTAAGAACTTGCCACAATTTATTATGATCCACAGTCAAAGGCTTTAGAATAGTCAATGAAGCAGAAGTAGATGTTTTTCTGAAACTCCCTGCCTTTCTCCATTATCCAGCGGATATTGGCAATCTGGTCTCTCGTTCCTCTGCCTTTTGTAAACCCAGCTTGAACATCTGGCAACTCTCGCTCCATGTATTGCTGGAGTCTTCCTTGCAGGATCTTGAGCATTACCTTACTGGCATGAGAAATAAGGGCCACTGTACGGAAGTTGGTGCAGTCTTTCGCATTTCCCTTTTTTGGTATGGGGATATAAGTTGATTTTTTCCAGTCTGATGGCCATTCTTGTGTTTTCCATATTTGCTGGCATATGGCATGCATCACCTTGACAGCATCATCTTTCAAGATTTTAAACAGTTCAGCTGGGATCGTGTCATCTCCTGCTGCCGTGTTATTAGCAATTCTTAAGGCCCATTCAAACTCACTCCTCAGGATGTCTGGTTCTAATTCATTCACCACACCGTCAAAACTATCCTCAATATTATTATCCTTCCTATACAGATCTTCTGTATAGTCTCGCCACCTTCTCTTGATCTCTTCAGCTTCTGTTAGGTCTCTGCCATCTTTGTTTCTTATCATACCAATTTTTGCCTGAAATTTACCTCCAATGTTTCTAATTTTCTGGAAGAGGTCTCTTGTCCTTCCTATTCTGTTGTCTTCTTCCACTTCCATGCATTGCTTATTTAAAAATAGTTCCTTATCTCTTCTGGCTAACCTCTGGAATTGCGCATTTAACTGGGCATATCTCCCTTATCCCTGTTTCCTTTTGCTTTCCTCCTTTCTTGGCTACTTCCAGTGTCTCAGCAGACAACCATTTTGCCTTCTTGGTTTTCTTTTTCTTTGGAACGTACTTTGTTGCCGTCTCCTGAAAAAATGGGTACCCTGATAAATTTGTGAACATCCTGCGGCTCCTCCATGATGACATGATGGAAACAGTCTTTGACAGCAATGGCTCCCAAAGTGACCCATTTAAGGTGGAATCAGGTGTCAAACAGGGATGTGTTGTTGCCCCAACCTTATTTTCCATCTTCATTGCTGTGATGCTTCATCTTGTTGATGGGAAGCTTCCCACCAGAGTGGAAATCATCTATCAAACAGACGGCAAGCTATTTAACCTCAACAGATTGAAAGCCAAAACCAAGGTCACAACAACATCTGTTATAGAACTCCAATATGCTGATAATAATGTAATCTTTGTGCATTCAGAAGAAGACCTACAAGCCACTCTAAACACCTTTGCTTACATGAAGCTTGGTCTCTCATCAAGAAAACCAAAGTGCTCTTCCAACAGTCACCAGCCAATCCCTCTGGAATGCCAGAAATACATAACATTTTGACCATTACTGCTCCCTTGGCAACCACTTCTCCACTAAAGTCAACACTGACACTGAAATACAACACCACCTGAGCTCTACGAGTACAACCTTTTTCTGAATGAAGCATAGAGTGTTTGAGGACTGGGGCATCTGTAGAGATACCAAGGTGCTTGTTGATAAAGCTATTGACCTCCTAAACCTGTTATATGCCTGGGAAACATGGACTGTCTACAGACGTCACACTCAACTCCTGGAATGATTCTATCAGAGTTGCCTTCAAAAAATCCTGCAAAACTCTAGGGAAGACAAGCAGACAAATGTCAGTGTGCTGAAAGAAGAAGAAGCAAAGACCACCAACACTGAAGCAATGCTCCTACGCCATCAAGTCTTCTAGACTGGCCACATTGTCCAAATGCCCAATCACTGCCTCCCAAAGCAGTTACTATACTCCCAACTCAAGAACGGAAAATAATGTTGGTGGATAAGAAAAGAGATTTATAGATGGGCTTAAAGCCAACTTTAAAACTATGGCATAGACACCAAGAACTGGGAAACCCTGGCTCTTGCTCATTCTAACTGGAGGTCAGCTGTGACCAGCAGTGCTGCAGAATTTGAAGAGGCATGAATGTAGGGTGACTGTGAACATCTTCCACCTGGGAACTGATAACCTCACTGTGGAAGAATATGTGGGTTAAGAATAGGGCTCCACAGCGAGCTACGTATCAGCCACCAAGACACTACACTACATCCTCGGCATCCTTGGGCTACAAGATATCACCTAAGTAAGTACTTACTTACTTAGGCGATCCCTCGTTGGACGAGTAAGATGGTCTTCCATTATGGGTTTCCTTGTGGGTCCGCATGTGGCTGTGGAGCCCTATTCTTGCTCTGCATCTTCTTCCGCAGTGTGGGCATTGGTTTCCAGGTGGAAGGCGGTCCCGGTCGGTTGGCTTGACGCGCCTTCCTCCTGGCACGTTTCTCTCTTTCACCCTCCACTCGTGCCTCCTCGAATTCTGTAGCACTGCTGGTCACAGCTGACCTCCAGCTGGAGCGCTCAAGGGCCAGGGCTTCCCAGTTCTCAGTGTCTATGCCAGAGTTTTTAAGGTTGGCTTTGAGCCCATCTTTAAATCTCTTTTCCTGTCCACCAACACTCTGTTTTCCGTTCTTAAGTTCAGAGTAGAGCAACTGCTTTGGGAGACGGTGGTCAGGCATCCGGACAACGTGGCCGGCCCAGCGGAGTTGATGGCAGAGGACCATCGCTTCAATGCTGGTGGTCTTTGCTTCTTCCAGCACGCTGACGTTTGTCCGCTTGTCTTCCCGAGATTTGCAGGATTTTCCGGAGGCAGTGCTGATGGAATCGTTCCAGGAGTTGCATGTGACGTCTGTAGACAGTCCACATTTCGCAGGCATAAAGCAGGGTTGGGAGGACAGTAGCTTTATAGACAAGCACCTTGGTATCCCTATGGATGTCCCGGTCCTCAAACACTCTCTGCTTCATTCGGAAAAATGCTGCACTCGCAGAGTCCAGTCCAACCAGTCCATCCTCCAGGAAATAAAGCCCGACTGCTCACTGGAGGGAAGGATACTAGAGACAAAGTTGAAGTCCTTTGGCCACATCATGAGGAGACAGCAAAGCCTAGAGAAGACAATTATGCTGGGGAAAGTGGAAGGCAAAAGGAAGAGGGGCCGACCAAGGGCAAGATGGATGGATGGCATCCTTGAAGTGACTGGACTGACCTTGAAGGAGCTGGGGGTGGTGACGGCCCACAGGGAGCTCTGGCGTGGGCTGGTCCATGAGGTCACGAAGAGTCGGTGACGACTGAACGAATGACAGGGAGCTCTGGGTGTTGTATTTCGGTGTCAATGTTGACTTTGGTGGAGAGGTGTCTGCCAAGGTAATGGAAATGGTCAACATTTTCTAATGTTACACCATTAATCTGTATCTCTGGCATTGGGGAGGGGATGGCTGGTGACTGCTGGAACAGCACTTTGGTTTTCTCGATGTTCAGTGACAGGCCAAGCTTCGTGTATGCTTCTGTGAAGGTGTTTAGAGTGGCTTGTAGATCTTTTTCTCTATGCGCACAGACAACATTGTCATCAGCATACTGATGTAAGTAAGTATGAATGTTGCAATTGACCTCCTTGATTAGCATTTAATGGCCTTGCAGTTTCAAGATCTGGCTGCTTCCTGCCTGGGGGAATCCTTTGTTGGGAGGTGATTAGCTGGCCCTGGTTTTTTCTTGTCTGTGCCTTCTGTTTTGCAGGTTGTCAACTATTGGGAACCTGGTTCTTTGAGGGGCAGAGAAGCCCTTCTTCCGACGAGGGTGGGTTTAGGAAGAGAAGCGGCGCCCAGAGGCGGGAGGGTGGTCCAAACGGAGCCTTCTCCTCCCTCCCTCCCTTCCGAAGGGCCCTCCCCTTTTCCCTGTCGCCTCCCGACGGGGCCAGAGCCTTTATAATGCCTCCCTTTCGTGGGGCGCCTCCTTTCCGCACCCAGTTCTTCCTCTCGGGCGGGAGGCTTGACTCCTTCCTTGTGCCGCTCCATCCTTGAGCAAACCACCGCCTGCCTTCCTCCCTTCCCTCGCCTTTGGGAGCCTTCGTGGGGGCTACACAAGCACAGCCTCCCTTTCCCCGCGAGTCTTCGTCCTTTTCCCTGCAGGGAAACTCCTCGGCTCGCCTCGCGTGAACCCCAAAGCCCCGTCCAGCTGGAATGAATATATCTGAGCCTCTTTTTTGCCGAGAGGAACGATCCCAAGCCCGAGGCGACTTTTCATGGGGAGCCGTCGCGGCAGCAGCAGCAGCAGCAGCTCCGCCTCCTCCTCCGTCCGCACCGGCGCCAGCCTCCGCGTCTGATCCGGGACACGCATCTTTCCCTCGAGGGGCGCCGGACCCGGCCTCTCCTTCCAGCCGGAGCCAGAGCCAGAGCCCCGACCCGGGATTCGGATACCGAGCCGGAGCGGAGAGCCGCTCGCCCAGCCCCGACCGGGACCACCCCCAGCATCACCAGCAGCACCAGCAGCAGGGCTATGGCTTCCGCAGGAGCGCCGACGGCAAAGGCAACGGAGGGCCCGGCGGAGAGGATTCCCGCATCCGGCGCCCCATGAACGCCTTCATGGTCTGGGCCAAGGACGAGAGGAAGCGCCTGGCCCAGCAGAACCCCGACCTCCACAACGCCGTCCTCAGCAAGATGCTCGGTAAGGGGATGGGGGGCTGGGAGAGGGGCCTGACCCCTGCCCTGGGCCCCTGCCCAAAGGACCACCTTGAGCTCACCTTCAGCTCAGCATCCTTTCTTGACCCAGGAGTCGGAAAGCCTCCCCAATGACCCCCCACATGGGTGGCCCTCTGCTTTACTGATGCACACACACACAGAATAGCCCACTGACTGAGAGGGGAACAACTTTGGGTTGTTGTAGGTTTTTCCGGGCTATATGGCCATGTTCTAGAGGCATTCTCTCCTGACGTTTCGCCTGCATCTATGGCAAGCATCCTCAGAGGTAGTGAGGTCTGTTGGAACTAGGAAAATGGGTTTATATATCTGTGGAATGACCATGGTGGGACAAAGAACTCTTGTCTGCTGGAGCTAGGTGTGAATGTTTCAACTGACCACCTTGAGAAATGCCTCTAGAGCAGTGGTTCTCAACCTGGGGTCCCAGGTGTTTTTGGCCTACAACTCCCAGAAATCCCAGCTAGTTTACCAGCTGTTAGGATTTCTGGGAGTTGTAGGCCAAAAACATCTGGGGACCCCAGGTTGAGAACCACTGCTCTAGAACATGGCCATATAGCCCGAAAAAACCTACAACAACCCAGTGATTCCGGCCATGAAAGCCTTCAACAATACAGGGAACACCTTTGCTTACTCCAGAATGGGTTTACACTGCTAGCATCACCAGAAGTCTTGACTATCTGGTGATACTAGACCACCACAGGGCTACCCTTCACTGAGAATATGGAGACAAGGTGGGTCAAGCCAAAGCCATCCCGTGCCCTCAGCCCACGGCACGCAGGAGGGCCATGTAAGATGCCACAGCAGGCCTAACTGTTTGCTCAGGCCCAAAGTCAGGGGACAGTTCACTTTTTGTGTGTGTCAGGAGAGACTTGAGAAACTGCAAGTCACTTCTGGAGTGGTGGCGCAGTGGGTTAAAATCCTGTGCCGGCAGGACTGAAGACTGACAGGTCGCAGGTTCAAATCCAGGGAGAGGAGGATGAGCTCCCTCTATCAGCTCCAGCTCCTCATACGGGGACATGAGAGAAGCCTCCCACAAGGATGATAAAAACATCAAAATCATCCAGGCATTCCCTGAGCAATGTCCTTGCAGACGGCCAATTCTCTCACCAGGTCGCTCCTGACACGACAAAAAAAAAACAAAAAAACTTCTGGAGTGTTTTGGACTTCAACTCCCACAATCAGAGACTCTTAAGAGTTGGAAATGGCTGCCAGGACCATCTAGTGTAGGCATGGGCCAACGTTGGCCTGCCAGGTGTTTTGGGCTTCAACTTCCATAATTCCGGAATTGTGGGAGTTGAAGTCCAAAACACCTGGAGAGCCAAAGTTGGCCCATGCCTGATCTAGTCCAACCTTTCTGACACACATGAACACAAAAGGGCAGCGCTTCTAAAAGATGCCTAGTTCCCAATCTCTGTTTGAAGCACTCAGAGGAGCTATGTGTGGGTTTTTTGTACCTTACCACATACATTTCCTAGGGTTTTCCTTGGCAAGGAATACTCAGAGGTGGTTTTGCCATTTCCTTCCTCTAAAAATATATCCCACCGCACCTGGTATTCAAAAGGGATGACCCTGCTTAGATTCCAAGATTTGACAGAATCTGGCGCCTTCTCTGTATTTATCCTCTTAATCAGTGGTTTCCAACCTGTGGCCTGTGGACCACCAGTGGTCTGCAAGAACGGAAACATAATCCATGACTTCACCATTACTACACGATTTCATTGAAACCTTCTTATTGTGCCAAGGCAACGGGGATGTTGGGAGGAGAGAGGCTGACTACTCATGAAATAATACTACTAACACATCAGCTCTAGATTATTAAATACTGAATGGCATATATTCTATATCAAAAACTAGAGCTGATATGGTTATCCAATGCAATTTTCTGAATCAACACCCTCAAATAACCAAACAGAATCTAAAATTGATCAAAAACTAATTCGTAACCCTTTTGGTACTAATGTTGGAGAGTGGTTCCTGGTCAAAAACAGGTTGGGAACCACTGCTCTAAATGATCAAACCCAAAAAAATATTACCATTGAGTCATCTCAGGTCTCATAAAGGCTCTCTCTCCCTCCTTTGTGCATTTACTTGTTAGTAGTTAGCATTGTAGAGTTGGAAGGGACTCCATGGTTCATTTAGCTATACAGAAATACACTATTATAGGACGCCCAAGACATGGTCATCCAATCTGGACCCCTGTCACAACACCTGCAGGTCACTTCTAAGTCTACATTCTGCTTTATTAGTGTTCGGTTTCAGATATAAGGGAAGAGAGGAATTAATCTGTAGTACACAAAATTAGTAACAACTTGCCTGTCAATTCTGAGTCTTCTCCCACACCAAAAAGGCACTTCCAAGGTCCCTGCACAGTCTTCTTCTTTACTTCTCTTGCTTTTTGTCTACAATATGCAAACATGCGGGTAGCTTTGCCCCACAAAGCATTTGTTGATGTTTATGCTGTGGAACTCATGGCCACAAGGCTGAGATTCTCCATCAGAGTCATGCGGCATAAATTTTGCCTGCAGAGTTATGGATTGTTGTAGACAAACATTTGTGCCAAATGGCAACAGATGCACACTTAAATGTGCCACTCAAGGCATATTTGCATCCATGCACAAGGCACTACATTGGCATCTTGCCTCCCACAACCTGGACTGGAATGTATACCTTCTGTAGGGAAACATATCTATATATATAAACATTTAACATATATAAACATTTAATGTTCGTTTGTGGGATTAACATAACTCAAAAACCACTGGGTGAATTGACACCAAATTTGGACACAATACACCTGTCAGTCCAACAAGTGATCATCACTCAAAAAAAAAAAAAACACAGCAAAGAGACTTTAAAAGCCAAAATATAAAAAAATATATTACAATGCATACGCATATATACACATACTCACATATAGACACATGTAAAGCACATATACACAGACTGGGCCACAGCAACGCATGGCAGGGGACGGCTAGTGTGTGCATAAGAAGTCAAAAACATTGCAGGAATTGAGAGTGGCATTTTAGAGCAAACTCCCTTTATAACTTTTGCAGAGAAAAAGCCATGTTAATCCGAAGTGGAACAAAAAAAGAAAGTCGATGCAGCGGTGGGAAACTCTGAATTCAGTAGCATCTTTTAAGTGGTCACATTTATATTTTAGTATACGCTCTTTGGGAAATTTAGCCTGTTTCCTCAGATGCAAAAAACTTAAAAATTGGGTTTGTTTTTAATGTGGCATAAATTCATGGAGGATAGGAGTGTCAACAAAAGCAATGGAGTTAAAAGAGTCGAGGGCAGGCATGGGCAAACTTGGACCCTCCAGGTGTTTTGGACTTCAAGTCCCACAATTCCTATCAGCCTATCAGCTATTTTGGACTCCAACTCCCACAATTTCTGGCCTCAGGCCCTTTCCTTTTTCCCCTCAGCCACTAAAGCCTGAGGCTGTTAGGAATTATGGAAGCCCAAAACAGCAAGGATGTTTTAAATGATCAGCGGTTCAAATCCAGGGAGTGGGGTGAACTCCTGCTGTTAGCCCCAGCTTCTGCCAACCTAGCAGTTTTAAAACCAGCAAATGTGAGTAGATCAATAGGTACAATTTCTGCAGGAAGGTAACAGCTCTCCATGCAGTCATGCTGACCACATGACCTTGGAGGCGTCTACAGACAATGCCGGTTCTTCAGCTTAGAAATGGAAATGAGCACCAATCCCCAGCGTCAGACTTGACTAGACTTAATGTTTACCTTTTAAATAATCCTAAAGGCATCCTACTCCAACTGGTGTTAGAAGCTAAGCACGGACGGCTCTGATTAGTGTTTGGATAGGAAACTGTCAGTGAATGCCAGGTACTCTAAGCTATATTTCAGAGGAAGGAATGGGCAAAACCACCCTTCCTTGCTTAAGAGTACCTAATGAAATCCATGGGTTCACCATAAATCAACAGGCGAAGACAAGGAAGGGATTTTTTATTAAATGAAATTTACTTTCCAGCCAAATGCAAGAGTTTCATTTCAATTGGACTGAATGAAATGGTGGCATTGAAAAGAGAAATGTTAGGAAATCGTACAATGTCATGCTGGTTGAAAATGGTTCGAAACACAAAATACTCCATGATCAGAAAATGGTCCCAAATAGATTTCTCATGCCATTTTATGCTGTTCTTCCAGCTTTAAGCTAATGTTGACAATGGAGCTGAAAACCAAGTGGACGGGATTGGAACCTAGATTAATGAACAAGAAGCACAGAATAATAATATGTGGGTCATCTTCCAACCCAATCCTTAACTTTTATGTTACTTAATGCAGAAACGTAAGAAGTGTAGGAATTTGTACTCACAGAATCTAGTAGGTCTTTCCCTCTAGAAATCCACCATCCACCAACTCAAGCAAGGGAAACACTATGGTATAGAGGAGGCATGGGCAAACTTCAGCTCTCCAGGTGTTTTGGACTTCAACACCCACAATTCCTAACAGCTTAGGTGGTTGAGAGGGAAAAGGAAGGAGCCTGAGGCTGTTAGGAATTGTGGGAGTTGAAGTCCAAAACACCTGGAGGGCCAAAGTTTGCCCATGCCTGGTTTAGAGACATTATCTTTTGGCAAGAGTACCTCTGCATCTACTCCTTTTTCTGACCCTACTCCCTTTTTGTGATTTTGATTACAACTATTCAGAGATCTTGTGGAAGTTTCTTTTATTCCCGACAAACACCTGGTAGCCATGTTAGTGAGGAAATTCCAGTTTATGTTATCCCAAAAATAACTTTTCCAAACCCTTAGATCAATATTTCTCAACCTGGGGGTCGGGAACCCTGGGGGGGTTGCAAGGGGGTGTCAGAGGGGTCATCAAAGACTATCAGAAAACACAGCATTTTCTGTTGGTCATGGGGTTCTGTGTGGGAAGTTTGGCCCAATTCTATTGTTGGTGAGGGTTCAGAATGCTCTTTGATTGTAGGTGAACTATAAATCCCAGCAAC